GGGTAATGGTGGTCAATTACAAGATGACTCCAAGGCATCGTCTGAGTTTTCGGATAATCTGTTGACTAACAAGAACGCATTGATTTCGATGAATTGCATGAGTGATTTGAACTCCAGTTCCGTTCTAGAGGTAATAGCGAGACGCTTACCTACTCGACTGCAAAGAAAGTGGGTGAAGATAAGCTCCCGTATAGGCGATGAAGGTATTGAGCAAAAGTGATGATATTCTGAAACTGGTAAAAGATAGTGTCAATCAAGCTGTGGGGAAGTTTGCCAGTGTATTGCATCCCACCCTTAGAATAGAGCAGTCTGAGGGAAAAATGCAATCATTGATGAGGAAAGGGTCTCAGAGAGGTGGATATCGTGAAAGCTCTATGGTGTCTGGTAATGCGTATAAACTTAGTGAGTGTAACAGCTTTAGTGGTACATCCTCAACAGATAGGTTACAAGATGCAAGACAAACACGGTTGTGCTTTACGCGTTTGCATGGAGTGCATACAAAGATGAACTGTGAACCAGTGAGCAATTTCAGTGATAAGCTAAATGTGAAATCAAGGTCTGACTCCGAATTGTGTGACGGTTATAGCGCGGTGAAGAAGCCTGTAGTTGCAACTGGTAAGCCATTGTTGAATAGTGACACAGAATAGAGTTACTGCTTCAGGGTGCAGTCCTGACTCCACAAGTTTACAAGGTATTACTAGTCAGGGTGAAGATATAAAACCTTTAAAGATTTGTGAGGAGGAACCGAAATTGTCTACTTCTGTTATTAAAGAGTTTGAAAATGATGAAATTGACGGTAAAGTGAATATTCGTGATAATGATCATGATAGTGCAGATTTGTCTTTGGTTGATCATGATGGGATGAGGGGAATGCCCACTACTGCTAAGTTGAACAAAGGTTCTGTACAACTTGAACGTGAAGCAGAATTAAATGCAGATGCAATTGCAGAAGGTAGGGATATTTGTCAGACCGTCAGTGTAATTGATCAGCGTGTAGCCCGCCTATCATCAGATGATAGTGCTAAACCCGAACTAGTAGTGAAAGACAGCAGTGGTGGTGATCTTGCAGTTAGACAACTCTCTGAAGGCCGAACAACAACAGCTTTCGATCCACCGCCAAGTTCATCAACTGGTATCAATCAGTCGTCGTTTGTGTTGTCATTCACAATGAAAAAGACGCCCATCAACTCAAGTGTCTTGTGCAATAACTATGGTAGTATTGGTGCATTTGAAAGGACAAAAGATATTGCTCAGTTTAGTGAGGATAAGCCAACTGTGTGCGAGAGGGTAATTGTTAAATTGACTTGCATGAATAAAGGCATTTCTAGCGTCAAGTTATTATTTAACTGCTATTATCTTTGGTGTAAATTACTCTGTGTCTACGCTTGGTTGATCAGATACGTTGTATGTTTGTTAGTCATCTATATTCTACGATACAATGATATGAGCGTGTCACCGTCCAGAGTTGAGGATATAGCTGATAAAGGGAAGTCAGCAAATGAACTCTGCAACGACTTTCCAACCTAGAGCGTCAACCCGAGAAGGGTTGTAGGCGTACTGCTGTAAGTCCTACAATTCTTAAAGGGTAGTACGTCGAAGCGCAGCCCATCATACTTGGTGTGTGATTTGTACATATGTTCGTACTGTATATACTGAATTGATATCATCTCTCATCTATCTGTTGGTAACTTTGTTTGTTTCCGGATGACTTCCACTTGGATCATCAACCTGAGAAGGAATGTAGGCGTACTGGTGTAAGTCCTACAGTTCTTCAAGGGTGGTTCGTCAAGGCAGAATCCACCACATTTGATGTATTAATTGTACGTATGTTTGTGTTAAGTAATTGAGTAGGTTCAGATTAATGTAATTGTTGGTTAATCTTGTTTGTGTCCGGACATTCTTCAACTTAAAATTGGCGTGTCACCGTTCAGAGTTGAGGGGGCGTCAACCTGAGAGTGGTTGCAGGCGTACTTGTGTGAGCCCTGCGATTCTTCAAAGGAATTCCCCCAAGGCATGATCTGCGAGGATATTTGTGCTGTTTGTACATACGTGTGGTGTGTCATATCAATTCGTGATTTTGGATTAATTGTGTCTACTCGTTGTTTTCGTACCTTGTTGCTATTACGCAATTTTGTTAAAATTTTCGGCGCGCTTACTTCTGAAGTTGTTTCTAGTCTTCTACATCCGTGAATGAATTGATTGATGTTAAAGACAGCAGGGGAGGCTAGTGCTGAGAACGACATGCACACGGAGATAAGGATTAGCTGCGGAATCAATGATTGAGAATGAATTCTTCTATTTAGGCTGTGGTTCTACACGCCGGGGAGCTAAAGTGTAGACGACTGAGGCTTGCATACGTCACCGTTACTAGAACTGAGGCAGAATGAGTGACAAGCGATTGTAGTAGTAATTGGTAGTGAATAGATAAGAGGGTGTGGCATCTTGGCGGTACGTTCGAAATTGGTGACATTTTTGCACGTGTTTGCTCTGAAATTTATTTACTGCTTATTGTCATATAATTCTTGAAATTATGGTCCAAATCTCTAAAAAACGTGTTCGTAGAAACACAATTGTTTTAGATAGTGGCTTAAATTCGGTTATAACTGCATTACCGCCTGGTAATACAGTATCAACTACTAGCTCTCAAAATGGTTTGAGTGCAGATCTCACTCCTGTGATACAGGTGAAAGATGTTCTGTTAGAGAACTCTGAGTTCTGTAAACTAAACCTCCTTTTGAAAGATATGCAGAGGCAAGTAAGTGAAATTCAGAAAAAATTAGATCAGTTTGATAGTATGTCACTGCCAATCTCAAATACCACGGAGAGCCGTTCTGATATTGGCCAGGTTAAGTGTTTACTGGATGTAACTCAAAATAAGCTTTTGAATTTAGACCCAATAGCCTGTCTTTTAGAAAGGCATCCTAAAATATCTCCAGACAACCTAAATAAAGCTGAAAATCTGATTGACTGCTTGGCTACGGAGGTGATGAAGCGTATAACCTCTTCTCACCAAGCTATAGTTTACAACGTCCCAGATTCTCTGCCCCTGAAAACTGTAAGACACAAAATCCTGATTTGTTGCGGCATGGCTAGTGTTCCATGTGAATGCAAACGACTTCGTAAAAAGTCTAACCAGGCTAATTGCCCAATCATTTTTAAATTCAGTAATTCCCTTGATGCTAGTAAGTTTACTAAATGTCAGGATCACTTAAGACTGAATAGCAGTTATAAGTCTATAACCGTAGCTCAGGATAAAACACCGTGTCAGCGCAGAATAATGCGTAGTAATAACCTGGTCACCTCCTCTAGCTTAGCTTTGATTTACCAAATAAGGATCGTGCACAGCAACAGACACCTAGTGCTGAAACTAGCATTCAGCAAACTACACAACAACCACACCTGCCAATGGAACTAGGAACTGATTTAGATACCAGTACCCCTGTAAACAAAGCCTCATCGAAAGATGTTAAAATGACTAGAACTTCTGCAAGTTGTTCTAAGAAATTTCCCCCCAAACGTAGTAACCTCACCACGATGAACAAATTTCGCAGGGTTGAGACTAATGATGGGGAAGAATACTTTGTATTCAATAAGCCTGCTGAGAGTAAGAATGCCAACAAACCATCACTTGTTACGAAAAACTCCTCTCGAAACATAAGTACATCTGGAGGTGTTCCGCATGCTCCACCTTATAGAAAGTCAGGCTCCAAGACTCCTAAAGTCTTGCAGCCAAAGCACCTTCCTTCACAATTCCCTTTAAGTTATAAAAACAACCCGAAGGTGTATACCGGTATGACGAATAGCAGTTGGATGGGTAGACCTTCTGATGCTATGCCTTTTAACCGCCAACCTAGGCCCAACCTGTACTACCCTTATATCCAGGAACACATGGTAAATTTTCCAGGTGTCCTGAATCACTGGTACGACCCATGGCACCTAGGACCACCTCATTGCACACCAACTCCGATGTGCAGACACCCAGTCCGACCTCCTTTTCATTCATAAATTCTTGCGGTGCTGACGCACAAATAGATTTAGGTTATGGTGACATTTTAAGCCAGTTTGTAGTATCCCGTGACTTATTCACGATATTGCTAATTAATGCACGCTCCTTAATCAATAAGATATCTGAACTAAGGACATTATTATTAGTCGCCAAGCCTACTGTAGCTCTGATTACTGAGTCATGGTGCTCATCCTCAGTACTTGATGTGCATATAGGTATCGATGATTACACTGTACACCGTGCAAACAGAGATTGCAAGCGTGGTGGAGGATGTCTCATATATATACATAACTCATTTGTAGTCAGTAAGGTGGAAGATGAAACAATGAATAATGTACCTGACTCACTCTGGGTTGTCTTACATGGAGATAAGTACAAACTTCTCATAGGCTGTGTTTATCGAGCACCAAGCGCAACAAAAGAAACTGATGCGTTATTAGCTAAATCGTTTGCACATGCATCCTCGTTTAGTGCTAATTACAAAATAATTGCAGGGGACTTCAATCTTCCAGAAGTCAATTGGCTAACTAGTTCCGGCCCCCAACGCTTCGACGAATTACTTGCCACTATAGACTGTTATGGATGGCAACAACACGTCCAGACACCTACTCGTGGGGACAACATTTGGACCTTGTTTTTTGTCATGACACAATCCCAGTATCCACTTATGTTGGTAATAGATTTTCCAGTAGTGACCATAGAATGGTACTCTGCTCTCTGCCTTTCTCACCACTAAATACAGGAAACAAACAAGACTCAGGAAGCACAATATGTCGTAGTTACAAATATACAGACTGGGGATTAGTCCAAGAACTTATTCGACTCTGTCAATGGGATGACTATTTTACCACTGACTCCCTGGAGGCCTTAGTAACCCTGTTTTACAGGAATGTTACCCTTTGTCTAGATACAGTTGCCCCAAATAAAATAGTGAAATTAAGTAGACACCGAACTGAATATATTCCAAGGGCACACCGTAATAAGTTAAGGAAACTGAAGAAACAGTACTATTCCACTAAGGACATATCACTATTGCTCTCAATCCACGAGTCTCTTGAATCTATCAAGCGCCTACGTTCTCAAAAGGACCTCGACGAAGAGTTAACGGCACTTGAAAGTACCTCCAAAGTTTATAACTTAACGGCACTTCTTAAAAAACGAATGCAGTCAGCGAGGGAAATCCCATACTTACTTCACGACAAAGTAATCTACAATGAACCTGCCACTATCTGTGAACTTTCAGTGATTGGTTTGCAAACTTTAGTTTAGAAACACATATGCCTGGTGAAACCGCTCCCCTTACTATCTCTTCCCTTGAAAGCATTGTGTTCACTAATCAGTTAATAGTACAAGCAATTAAAAGCCTTAAACCTTCCACTAGTACGGGACCGGATGGCCTCGCTTCGATAATTTTCAAAAACAGTGGGTGTGATATACCCTGTTACTTCTTAAATTCTTCTCAATATCTATGGACACTGGCACTTACCCTAGTGAGTGGAAAACTAGCTTCATAATTCCACATTACAAATCTGGTGATAGGGCAAACGTCCGCAATTACAGACCCATAAATATAACCCCAGTTATCTCACGAATCATGGAGAAAGTTGTAAAGGATCAATTGTCAGACTACCTAATTAGGGAAGATCTTGTTACAAGGTCTCAACACGGATTTCTCAAAAATAGATCCTGCGTTACTTGCCACTTCGACTTTTTCAACTGCATCACTAGTAATCGCGAAGCACGTAAGCTAGTCGTTGTTCTCTACTTCGATATATCTAGGGCATTTGACATGGTATCTCACAGTATTCTCTTTGAGAAGCTGTACTCTTGTGGAATTCGCAACCCATTACTGAACTGGTTAAAATCATTTCTAAGCAACAGGGTACAAATAACCAAAGTTGGATCTGTATTGTCTCACCCTAGGCAGATCTCAAGTGGGGTCGTGCAAGGTAGTGTCCTAGGTCCACTTTTATTCACAGTTTACATTAACAGCATTTGCAAGTGCTTCACCTCAGGTAAACCATTCCTATATGCTGACGACCTCAAAGTCGTCTACTCCTGCTACACTCATGAATTAAGCGATATGGTAGATAAAATACATCTTGAACTAAGTAGCCTTGCAACGTGGTGTGCTGAATCCTGCCTAAATTTTAACATTGACAAATGCGGCTGGATTTGTATCGGCAACAGTAAGCTTGATCTAAACCTTGAAATAAATGGGCGAAAACTAGCTAAGCTCAATTCAGTCGTAGATCTCGGTATTAGATACTCTAGTAACCTAACGTTCGCTGAACAGACTGATTATGCCAGACGTAAAACGCGTAGGCTGATAGGATGCATAACACGCAATTTCTTTTGTTGTGAAACTAGGGTTTTATTATACAAAGTATGTGTCCGACCTATCTTAGAATACTGCCCGTTTATTCTTAGCGGACTAAGACAAAATGACAAGCTTAAATTAGAGGGAGTGCAACGGCAGTTTACCTCAAGAACTCTTGGTTTAGAAAGTAGTCTGGAATACCATGAGAGATGCGTAAGACTAAGATTAGAACCCCTCTGGAAAAGACGCCTTAAGCTAAACCTAATCTTTTACTATAAGCTAACTAATCTTCTCTTGCATTCCTCCGAGCCAATAACTAAACCTACCGCTGTCGTCAGTTACAATCTTAGAAATCATCACAACCTAGCTGCTATAGAGCACTGTCAGACTTACGTGCGGTACAACTTCTTCTTAAATAAGTTTTCAGTCATTTGGAATAGACTACCAGCTAATGTGCGCGATGCAAACACACTTCCAGTGTTCATCTCCTCAGTCACCAGACTGCTCAAAGATGACAATGCACTTTTGCGCCTGACTCTTACACCTTCTTTTTCACCCTACATAGATATTTTAAGTTCTTTAAACGTGTAGTTACAACAAACTACAATTATAAATTTTAATATTATTGGAACTAGATGATTAACATTTCTACACAGGACAGTAATATTAGTTTACACATAATATAAAAGTTAGCATAACGGGACTAGTTAGTTTGTGTACCAAAATAACCACAGTTACTAAACAGAATATATATGTATATATTTATTAATCACTCCTTAAGGACTCCCGTTGCTTTCTTTTGCGTTGCTGTTGTTTGTCTTCTTTTTTCTCTCACCATTTCAGCTTCCATTTGACTTTTTGAATGAGAATGAATAATGTGGATATTTGACCATTTACAATGACAAATGATCTGCAAACATTATTGGTCCCGTATCTTTCAGTTGCCTGGTTAATAACGAATTAACTTTCTCCACGACGCAACCTGGATTACATTTGTGGAAATATACTCTTATACCAATGGAAAAGTATCAATTTGTAATACAACTTCACGATTAAAAAAAAAAAAAAAAAAAAAAAAAAAAAAAAAAATAGCTTCCTTATTACCCAATTTGGATATAAATCAAATCAAAAATGAGATTCGGATTTGTACACACCCAGGTTATATTGAGGAATTACTTCAAGCTTTATTTTTTCCCAAGTATTTTTAATCCATCCAAAACTTACTTGGGTTTTTTTGTTAATGCGAAGACAATATTCCTATATTTCATGATGTGCTCCATTGAATGACTTGTTATATTGTGGAATAACTTCAAGCTTTATTTTTTCCCAAGTATTTTTAATCCATCCAAAACTTACTTGGGTTTTTTTGTTAATGCGAAGTCAATATTCCTATATTTCATGATGTGCTCCATTGAATGACTGGTTATCATATTGTTCCCACAGACCTAAAAAAATGGTATGCATTTTCATGTAAATTTATATGTTTATATGAGAATATACATTATTATAATTATTATTAAAACAAAAACGCCAGCAACCATGTAACTTAACCATAAACCGAATTTATGAAATTTAATTAATGCTTATCCATGCCTGTATATTTGGTGTGTCCTACACAAGTAGGAAAAAATGTGTACTTTATTAAAACATTATTATTAATTATGATTGCTAATCGTATATGTAATTTATCATATTGATGATGCCTGTAAACTGGCGTCTCTCATGTACAAAATGAGAATATACTATTATTATTATTATTATTATTATTAAGAGTATCATGAGGTGCTGTTATGGTCACGCTGCGTTCTGCAAGAGTCATTCTAGCAAGTGGCGATTGTGTTGCAAGGTGCCAAGAGGATGCCTTTGACTGGAAGGTGTAGGTCGTCGTCGATGAGTGAGATTGTGCTGTGGATATGCCTGTGTCCTGTTGGATTTGGGATGGATCCGTTTTTTGCCGGGGAGTGTCAATGTAGTTGGGGATTGAACGATCAATTCATGGTTGTTTGCTCGAACCCAACTCCTCCATATTTTTCGCGGGAGTCATCAATCCAGCAGTAATCGTCTCATCGCTCGCTGTTCAGTGGAAGACAGAAAACTACCAGAAGTATTACCGTGATTTATTGTTATAACATTTATTCTCAGACCTCAGCCATCATGATGACTTAATGTAGGTAAGTGAGTAAGTAATTGGTTGCATAATTCAATGGAAATGAAATCGTTCTGCACTTGCTCTAGCCCCGTTTACTCAATTATTCGTCTCATGTAAGTATCATGTTGCATTATACGTTTACAACCGTAATCATTTGGACTGACATCACACTTTAGGCATTATAATAGTAGTGTACTACTTCTGAATACACTTGATCTTATACGAAGTCAAACTCCACGGCGCTGCCTAGGTTCTGTTCTTATCTTTCAAATAAGTAGTTTTCCCATTGGTCCCTACAGATTCCCCTATGGCTCGGAAACGTAATCGCGTAACATTAGGCGGATGTGTAGGCTTGATGAAGGTATTCACAAGTCATCATCTATATTAGTCGATAGTTTTCCCACATAATTGCGCTTAATTATTGTAGCACGTTCATATCCTAATGAGTTCCAATCTAGCATGGCGTACACCCACCGCAAGCATATCCAACAGAACATTAGAATATTAGATGAAAAGTTTTATTTCATTGCAGCTTGAACAATCTTATTTGCATATATCGGCTGAACACAGTCCAGGACGAAGGTATCCGTTCGAGAAGTATCTCGCATTATTCGACGGAAACTGCCCATGTCAGACACGTCTCGTAAACCGTTAATGCCCAGCTCTTGCTACGCTGGGACTCACGCTGTTCCTTGAAGTTTCTCAGAAACGCTTAGTAATAACGGACGCAAAATCCAAAACACCGATTGGCTACGCGAGAATTCTTTATTGTAACACCAACATATAGCCAACTTTAAAATAAGCTTTACAACTAAGGTCTATGAACAAATATTACAGTAATAAATCACAATATTACTTCGGACGGTTTTCTCCTGACTTATTTCTGAACAGCGACCGATGAGAAGATGACTGTTGTATTGATGCCTGAGCGAAAATTGAGGAAGCTGGTTTTGAGCAAACAACCATGAATCGATCGTTCAATCTTCAGCTACATTGACAACCCATTATCTGAATTGCATCAATTTGAAATTATTTTTCAACTCAGTCAAACAGGACAGGACGCTCACATCCAAAGTAATCCTGTCTCACAGTCTAGGACAAAGAACACCTGCATGGTTATTGGTGAAGACTTAACATAACTTCCCCTGTTATTGTTGTTGCGTGTAGAACCAACCTCTCCAACTGATTATACAAAGCGACTAACCAGTCTCAACAGAGTGTACGACAAAAAAGTCTTGTGACTGCAAAAAACGGTAAAACACCGTTAGAATAATTGAGCGTTATATTTACATTCATCGTAGCCCTCTGAAAACGACGCACGACGAAGTCAAACAAAACCTTTACACTATGTCAACTACGTACGGGGAACTTGAAATTCAACCGACTGCCACTGTTCTAGCCAGTGAAAGAAAAGCAGAACAGAACGTAGGTAAATTTAGGGAGCGATAGCGTATATTCTCACCCGTCTACCACCAGTCAAACAAAAAACATTGGTTACCATGAAAATCTGTAGAAGATGGGGGAAGTTTGTCAGTTAAATCAAACTTTAGCCGCCTCACCTTAAACAATCAATTTATCTGTGCTGATTGAAACGCATGATGTACAGTTGATTCTTCAGGGAACACGAACTCGGCTGTGCTTAGTGGTGTCATTGTATATCTATGTGCTGTCTCCATATTGTTACTAATACATCCATGCTTAGAAAGTCGTAAGGGTTATATTCTACTTTCTCCAGTTGAGGTGGTGTTAAAACCGGCCAGGTTACTCGGTTAGGTGGCGCAGACTAAAGATTCAGCCGGTAATGTAGTCGAAGACCAGATTTAACAGGACAGATGGTCAGAGGACAATCATGAGCGTCATTTCTAGTTGAAGCCAACCGGAAACAAGCTCGAGATTGTTCAAGAAGCCCAATCAACTAATTCCTCAGAAATCCATGTGAAGCAGGGGAGCGGACAAAGTTCATGGACAAGTGGTTTTTCACCATAGTTCCTTGCCTTTGTCTGATCGGCTGGACAAAGTGACCCTCTTAAGGTTGCGTGTCGGTCGTTTCGGTAGTGAGAGGGAAATCAAGATGATTTCAGCTCGTGTATACACAAGAAACAAAGAGCTTGTTGTCTGTCAGGTTTGTGCGTCGGTGGCACAGCGGTTAGGACTCTCGCCGACCATGCACATGGCCCGTGGTTCGAGCCCACGCCGACGCACACCTGATATCTATGGTCGGCCTGCGAAATTCGGGCTACCGATATCCATGCTGAAAATTCCATACTTGTACCAAAAATACAGTGTGGAATCAAGCTGTAAATCAAAAAAATAGGTGAGTTTCAGGGTGTCCAGTAGTACATGTCACCAGCACTGCCTGGCTTGGGAGTTTCCCTTCGCTAGCATATTATTACTGAAAGCACAGGTGTGTTTGCGTTTGATGGTCTTGTTCAGATTCCTCATAATACCGACATATTCTCTTTATTTTACTAGATGCCTTAAACGGTTTCCAAGAAGCCCTGTTGTCGCGTGACCGTGGGGGACTATGATGTGAGTAAATATTCTAGACAGTGGCTTTAAATTCAGCAACTCAAAATGGAGGGGGAAAAGAACTAAAAGTAAACTATCGGCAGATGAGATTTATATGAGGTGATAGGGATGACTTACAGTGAACAGATAAATGCGACAAAACATAAAATAACAAATAATGTGAAATAGGTGGCGCAAGTTCAAAAAATATGCGGGCTTAGCAATATATTATTTGTGAACATCTCAGGGATGTGCCATGTAAAACCAAATCAGAATAATACAGTATATTCGAACAAAAAATTAAAGTTATTAAGAGCAGGAAGCTACCAGACTGTTTAGTTACTTGAATGTAAGGTCTGGTCCACCTGACACAAATTTCAATGGTCTAATCCACAGAACCATATGACTACACGTTGCTGTTGCTCCTCCATCGCAGGTTTTCTGATCTGACCAATGGCGATCACTGAAAGAAGGATGAGCATTTCCTGTAAGTTTCCAAAGTGGTAACAAATTGTTAGAAGGTCGAGAGAGTAACTACTGAGAATAAGAAAACGACCAGTCAACGAACATTTTTCGCGTTAGCCTAACCGCACCGGAAAATTGGTTATGACGTGCACAAAGTGGATTAACAGACATTTGGTTCGAACGGGAGGCAAGCAAATGTTCTGAAAACAGAAAATTTTGTGTTCGACCAAAAAATTAGACTCATTCTCTGTACATCCTAATTTTTTTTGCCGTAAGGCTGACTTTGATCAAAAGATTTGATAGCCTGTGTAAATATTTTCTCACATGCGACTTGAAGATGAATTGAAATTTTGAAAAGGATGGAGTCTGTATTATTACCTCAACTTTTCTGAAATAAAAGAATAAAGTACCATGAGCGATAACACATATGACCTTGACGCGAGTGGTGGCAAATTTTAAAAAGCAGATTTTGAGGGCGTAGCTGTAGTTACTTTCTCAGTGCTGTTGCGCTGTTTGCGTGGTCTCAAATGAATCTAAGGTATTGTTTTTGTAGTTCTTGTGTTACTCCACAATGGTAAGCTTTGCGAAGGTTTAAGTAATAGTGACACCTAGAAGTCTACTTACACCATCATTATTTTTTAAATGTCAACAATGTTGATATCCTAAATCTACCTATAATACTACACCGCATTATTGCATCAATGGTTTTACACTTTAAATGGTGATTGATTTTATTTTTGAAAAGAAAGTGTTGCATTGACACTTTGTGGTATACCACAAACCAGTGTTGAGTGGTTTCTATCTTTCCCTCAAGTAAATTGTTAGGCTAAATCCCTCGGCAGCCGAAAATTGGGATATAAATATTTACACCTTCATCCTTTTGAGGCACTCCTATGAATCGCTAGTACTTGGTAGATACAGCGTGTTTAGCAACAACGGTTATTGAGAACTCACTCAAGTAATTGCATTAATTCCTCTACTGAAGATGACGTTTCGTTTTATTTTAGGAAGTTTGTGAATATGAATCGTTAAATTTTTGATAAATCTGATGATTATACCCGTTAGTGTTAGCATTATAAACACCGGACTAGTATTCACTAAGAAGTAATTAAAAGTGGTCTTAGCATGTTTGCATAAGGTGTTTCATATATTTTTTTAAATCTCTGTAATTCCAGAAGCCATATATTCCCATCGGTACTAGTTTAATCCCGCTAACAGTGATATAGGGTTCTGTTAGCACTAGGGATTTAAACATCTAACTCTTTGCTTTATTACGTCTTTCTTAAATAATACATTTTTTGTTTATGCAGAGTATTAAACCCTAGACTTACATGCTCGTTAAAAGGGAAGTGATACCATATCTACTTCTAAAATGAAAACTAACTTATTATCTCATTTTTATCAAAACCTCTTAGGACACGCACAGTTTTCGGTTGTTTACCCAAGTGGCACTACAAAATAGTGTTGAGCAGGTCTTACAAAGCTAAAAATGAGCCCGTTTTATTACATAAACCTGGCAGTAATGAGCGTCAAAAATTGGACGCTACACTGCATACTATGATTTCCAAAGCTCCGTATAACGTGCCTATTTGTATTGATTCGCAAGAGGAATCATCAAAAGAACTTCGAAAACAAGTTTTGGTAAGTAGAAGGTATTTTAATATTAGTGATTAAGCCATTTGAGCATTCGAAAACGCTGGCGAATTTCTACTATGGTTCAGAAGAACAAATTAAACGCGCGATTGAATCGTGTCTTGCAGCTCGCCGGAGTTGGTCTCGCACCAGTTTTGATGAACGTGCTAAAATATTCCTAAGAGCAGCTGACCTTGTTGGTGATAAACGCCGAATGGAATTATTAGCTTCAACCATTCTCGGTCAGGTGATGTCATTCATTGTTTTAATTTACTTATAGGCAAAAACTATTTTCCAAGCAGAAATAGATGCAGCTGCGGAGTTGGCTGATTTTTTGAGGTTTAATGTACAGTTTGCTTCAGTAAGTAACTGCTATTATTTCAAGTTTCTTTTTGGCCTATAGGAAGCCCTGGCATACAAACCAATTAATACTGAGGATGCAAGAAACGAAGTTGTGTATCGACCAACTGAAGTAAATTCCACTCACTTTGGTGATTCTTCTCTTTCCAAAGGGTTTCTGGGCTGCAATACCACCATTCAACTTTACTGCCATCGCTGGTAATCTGGCTAGTGCACCAGCCTTAATGGGCAATGTTGTGATTTGGAAACCTTCTGATACAGCAGTTTATTCAAATTATCTTGTCTACAGGTAGGAAGTCTTCTAAACGAGTTGTGAAATACCATGTTTCGGGAAAAATATTTTGTATAAATGATATTCAGATAAAGATCAGGTTACCGTAGATATCACTTTTTTTAGATGTACTTATTTGAAATCCCTAAATTAGGAGGCGTGAGTTCACAACAGTGTTGAGAAATGATGCAAGAAGTAATGTAGCTTTCCTTTATTAGCCATCCGGTCTTAAAGGTATTTGGACATACCACCATACATTAACGAGAAGAATTGTCATATGTTGTGGCTGTCAAATATGTTTACAATTTGGTACCAGCTACTAAATGATATCTGATTTCGTAGTACACATTAAAAATTACGAAATATTTTACAATATATTTGTGTTGTATGCGGATATATTTTCTTTTTGGTTGTAACATTCTTAGATAGGTTGCTTTATTGATATGTCATTATTAGCCAAAGTTATGTCAAAGAGAAGTATAATGTAGTAACAAAAGTAAACAGAAAAGAACAGCCACTTAAACATGTTTTCAAGGAAGTCTTCAACATGCTTACATCTTTGTATCATTGTCTTGAGAGTTGCTGCACTGTCTTCATTAGCGTTAAATTACTGTGTTTCTGCACTGTCGCTTAGACCTCAATCAGGAAATCAACTTATGCCTATCAAAATGCAACTATTATTCATCCAGTTGTACCACATATTATGCATTTTTAAGTATTTTTTAGTTAATGATTCTGAGCAGAAAAGATTACAATTATATACGTAGTTTTACTAAAGTGAACTTTGTATTATGCTCACAGTAACTGAGTAAATGTTTTCTGTGCTAAATTACAAGGTTACTTCTATAATATTTCGACTGTAAATGGAAAGTAAAGAAGAACAATATGGCTTATTGACCTCGCCACTTGACTTCAAACCAATCGATTCTGGGTTCAGACCTCACTCTACTTATGCAGTCTTCACACATTTACTGTGACCTATAGTCTGTTACATATAACCTACATCATGTAACTATGGTCCACCATGTCAGGGTCGAGATAATAACACGCCAACCTGTGTTAATTTGCTCAAATCTTTTTCAGTTTTACTATAAGTTAGTTACTGTGATTCATGAAACAAATTTTGTTGACATCAAGTGGATAAAAGTTTTAGTTCACCTTGTGTAATGTAGTTTTATTCAACGTGACTAAATCCTCAAGTAAACAAACGTGAAGTCCATGAGAAATGAAGAGAGAAATAAATAGTTGAGTAGTCTGAGTCACCAGTTACACTGTATGAATAATATTTGTTTGGTATTAAAAATCTTATGAGATTTCGTTTCAGCATCGCAACTAATTCTAATTTTTTCCTGAAATTAAAGCCTCTGTCTTAGACTTTGATGTTTGTTTTCTAATTATATTGTGGTAGTCTGTTTGTAAAAACAATCGATTTTAAAATATTTACACCCAATAGTTAAACAACATTTTCGTAAGTTTGGTTGTTTTGCCAGTAGAATAGAAGATTAGTGCTGCTTGTGGTCTGGTTGCACAAAAGTACTAAAACTAGAAGATTATTTTTTTCACGATTTGATTGTCAATAATTTAGTTGAAGTGAATGTTTCGTAGCTTCAAATTACGTACTCATTGTCAAACGCATGTTAAACCTGACTGTGTTCTTTATTTTCGGTGCACTCATTCGCTGTTCTTTTTTTTAAAAAAAACTTCGTCATTTTCTTATTTAAAGATTATTCCGTGAGGCTGGTTTGCCACCTGGTGTGATTAACTTTGTGCCGGCTGATGGTCCTACATTTGGTAGGGTAGTGTGTGAACACCCTCAACTTGCAGGTATAAACTTTACCGGTAGCACCAAGTAAGTGCAATTCATTGGTTGTTTATCATAATTCTTTGCCTGCTATATTTCCTTTGCAGTGAATAAAAAATCTGTCGCATAGTGAGATTTTAATAACTTCCAATGGCAAATGAGTGGAAATTCGAACGTAACACTTTGGGAGAGTTAAAATGGCTGATAACTATACTGCAATTGTCCATTGATCAAATTCATTTTGAACGGGAAGTGGCTAGCAGTTCTCCAATTCTGATTAAAACTACTAAGCCTATCTTAACTTAAATACCAGGTAGTGCTGTAGGAGTCCAAGTTGGTTCCTGTGGGATGGTAGAGATCGTTTGTTATCAAATTGTGTTATTCTTCAGGAAAGCCTTATAACACAATATTGTTAGATTTTATTATAGGTGAGGTAACTTCTTAGGCACGAATCCCCCACTAGTAAACGTTTTCGTTGGTTCTGAGTACGCAAGTGATATAGCCTTCACAGGTAGACAGTAGGAAAATGTAGTCTTCTGAATATCCCAATCAAACATGTGAATGTATTTGTTGTGCTATTCCGTCACCCGTAGGGAATGTAAGACGATACTGCAGGACTGGTCGGCATCAACTCTTTGTTTAAGAATTAAAGGTGAATTTGTCAAGTGAGTTGCACTGTTTTACTGACAAGATGCTAGCACAGATAAAGAAAACGTTTTCACCGTTTCCCAGACTGCAAAGTTCTACTTTTGATCTATCAGTCAGTTACATTTCTTTCGCAAAATATGTTTATCTCAGAAGCAATTAGAGAATTCTCAAGCATTAGTTTGCAGAGATTTGATTGGTTCTAAATTTGGTCATAAATCGATATCAGTTAGAAAACCACTGAAAACAAGGGAGTACTGAACATCCGTTTCGTCCTGACACAGAACTCTTCGGAAGTGCGCACCCATGATTCATTCAAGCACTTATAAGCTCGTCTGGCAACCTGGAGGTCCTGATTTCGATTCTCGGTGGGGTTATGGATGCGTAGTGCTGAAGAGTTCCAAACTAAGATGAAACAAATGTCTAGTACTCTTTTGTTCTCTATTTGTGTAACTGATGTCGTTCTGTGATCAAACTTGAAATTAGAGAATCGATTTTATGAAAAAAAGTGGAAGTGGAAGTTTTGATAAGTTCATTGTGCTACTGTCCTTTCTCTTAATAGTTACTAGGAGCTACATGTATGTCAGCAGGTATTCAGCCAAATTTACTCAGGATGAAATTACCTGCCTCTACAGCTACGGGCACATATATTTTCATGCATTGGGATAAAAGCTACATTTATCGTATGCAAATAAATAAAATACTGCACAGCTGTCAAAGATTTGGTCGTTTTAAGCGGGGTTTGTTTCAACAACTTGGTGGTTAAAAGTTGACGATATCTGCATCAATAAGTTATAGCTTCATATATAGAGTAATGACAATGAGCTTGAGTTTTTACTGTCTCCGTAGCATTTAATTGTTTGAAGTGTAGAATGGTGTTGCCGATTTCCACTTTAAATGCCGGGAAATATTTCGAAATAAGGTTATTTTCAAATTTCATCATTTAGGTTGAATATTCACTATTAACTATTCAGGCGAGTAATTTATTTCTTCTTGTTTGAAACACCTACAGATTATGAACGAAATATTCCTATATTGAGTCATAAGAAAAAGACGTAAACAGCGAAGAAAATTTTCTTTTAGACGATTCATTTTCATATGCTGTATATCAGTAATTGTATTTAAACAAAGAAATCATAAGACCAATTAGATACTGGTAAAATTTCTCCTCGAAAACGTATCACGTAATGTAAGGTGTAGTCTAGAACAACGGGTGACTAATTGGAAATTAGAGAAGCGGGCAGAAATTGGCATAACGTACTAGGTGTGGAAAAATGACTAGTCAATGTAGTAGTTGTGTAGAGTGGACAAAAACCAATGGAAAGACAATAAAATCTGTATGAAAACGCGAAGTTATCAATAAACAGTAGCGGAGTGATAATAAAGTAAGAATGATGAGAATAATAATAATATTATTAAACTTACGTAATAAAAGGAAGCAAAATTATTGTGTGAACGTTACTCTGGCCACGGTAGGGCGAGAGAATGTATGTGGTGCTTTTGAATTCAGAGGTCCGGTTTCAGATCCCCAATAGGCAATGATTCAGCTATGTACAGATGGCGTATATCGAAGTCCTTTCGTACGATATTGAGGGACTCTCTATAGCACTGTGAATCATTCGTGTGACGGGTAATCGATGTCCAGAGTTCACAGGGTGTACGAGGATGGAGCTACTAGTATTCTAGAATACGTTTGCGGACTTGACGTTGAGTACGGCCGGTATCTTTTGCTCTACACGAACAAGTAAACTGATAAATACACATTAAGGTGGCCAAAAGCGGTAACTTATCCTTAACGTTAGACTGGATTAAATGTCTGCTGGAGAATGTGATGCATAAGGTGACTGCTTGAAATGTTCTCTTCAGACATTTAGAAAGGTGGTTTCTTAGAATTTCTTTTTCGATGTCGTCTTTGAATTCCAGGTTCCTGAAGAAAGTTTTCTGCAGAACAGTTGTGACTTTTGGCTACAGAAGCTTCACCTTCTTGTTTTTGTTGATAAATCTGGGTGAATACCCGTTCCCTAGTAGGGTTTCATGTAATAGATTTAATTCTTTCTCTATCGTGTCTTCCGAATAGATTTTTCGAATCCGTGAACATAAGGTACGTAATAGGTTTTGCTTTCGGACGAGTGGGATGAAACTCCGGAAGTTAATGAACTGTCGCGTCCATGTTGGCTTGCGATACATCAATATACCAGTCTTGTCTTCTGATAAGTAGTAAATTAGGGAATGGAAATGCCACATTTGATTCACGTTCTAAGGTGAATTTTATTGATGCGTGTGATGCATTGAAGGTTTTGAGGAGATACTCTAAATCAATTTTCTCATCACAAATTATAAACGTGTCATCTATGTATCTCCTGTATAAATGCAGTTCACTGATCAAAAGATTGAGGACGTTGTTTTGTAGACTGGCCATGAAGCAGTCATTTAGAAGTGAACCGAGAGGAGACCCCATAGCCACACAATCTTTCTGTACATAGAATTGTTCATTGAATTTGAATTGGATATTAAACAGGTATCTGAGTAGTTTCTTCAGATAATTGATGGGAAGAGGAACTTTGAGGTTGTTGTTTTCGATGTAGTCACAGGTGTCTCGATCAGTGGGTTGCTTGTAAATAAAGAGGTGACACTCAGTGAAAGCATTTGTCTTTCAAACATGTTGATATCTCTCAATGAATCAATGAAGTCGAATATATCACTAAGACTATACTTTGTCATATGTCTTTTTAGTGATTCAAGGATATCACTTAGGCACTTCGCGACTTGATATTATCGTGAGTTGACCATATCTATTATCGGTCAAAGTAGAAAATCCTTCCTAGACACTTTAGGCAATCCATATAGTCTTGAAATAATTGAACTGTGTGGTTTTATCTATTCATATACCTCCGATGTTATGACTGAATCTTCTTTCATTTTCTTCAGCAATTTTGCAAACAGGTTTTCTGTTCTTTCTGTTGTGTCTTCCTGGTTAGGTGGTGTGAAGAATTTTGTGTTGCCTGATGCTATTTTTGTTATAGTCAGATCTGTTCATTACCATAATCTAATTGCCCTTATCAGGACGGACGATGATTATGTTTTTATCTTCTCGAAGATGTTTTCTGTGTTCTTTGGAAAGCAAAAAACGATGGCTCCGTCGTGTACGAATTTACTTGTAGCAGCTATCGAGAACTGAAGCTTTCAATTATTCTAGTTATTTTTCAAAAGTAGGTGACAAGTCAAATATCAGTGAGATTCAATTCTCGAACTGGACTTTGGTTTGTAATTCGTTGATTTTACTCAATACTTAGATTTGAATAGGATTGAGAAGAAAATACGAAAGGACTTCGATATACGCCATCTGTACATAGCTGAATCATTGCCTATTGGGGATCTGAAACCGGACCTCTGAATTCAAAAGCACCACATACATTCTCTCGCCCTACCGTGGCCAGAGTAACGTTCACACAATAATTTTGCTTCCTTTTATTACGTAAGTTTATTATTATTATTATTATTCTCATCATCCTTACTTTATTATCACTCCGCTACTGTTTATTGATAACATCGCGTTTTCATACAGATTTTATTGTCTTTCCATTGGTTCTTGTCCACTGTACACAACTACTACATTGACTAGTCATTTTTCCACACTTAGTACGTTATGCCAATTTCTGTCCGCTTCTCTAATTTCCAATTAGTCACCCGTTGTTCTAGACTACACCTTACATTACGTGATACGTTTTCGAGGAGAAATTTTACCAGTATCTAATTGGTCTTATGATTTCTTTGTTTAAATACAATTACTGATATACAGCATATTAAAATGAATCGTCTAAAAGAAAATTTTCTTCGCTGTTTACGTCTTTTTTCTTATGACCTAAAGACCAGTCACTAGTACAAGTAAATTAGTTAGCTACTTAAGTGCGTCATTTCTTAACCTTACAACATTAATGTTTTATATATATTTCTCTTATTAATGATATTTAATTTAAGCGTTTACGAAATAAGCGTTTGACTCATGATAACAATAACATGAACTGTTACTATAAGCCAACATTTTAGTAGGCTTTTAGAGTTACATTAGGAAGAAAGCTATTCTGTTACATTGGTCAATACAGAGCTTTCGCACAATAAGACATCGTTACTATCTTTCTAACGAAATACATGCAATTATTAATCTATGGTTAAGAACCTTTGCACTTTCTGCCTCTTTATCATATTAATGATTCAACAAGCAATTTGTCCGGTTAAATCTTATACACTTGAAATTATTAAATGTTCTCATAGTTAAAATTATATATATATATATATATATAAATATATATATATATATATATATATATATATATATATATATATATATATATATATATATGAGTGAACAAAACTGTTTCCAATTTAATCATCTTGAAACTTTGCTCTAGTATGCAGACAGCTTTAAACTATAAAAGTTTTTATCAATAAAGGTGAATGTTTAGGTAAGAGATAAATGTAAACTATTGTAAATGTAGCAGCAGTTAGAACCAAAGATCACAATAATTATAGTGACAATAATATCAATGATAACAATACTACAAGTAGTTCTTGCAGACGACGATAAGAATAATAAGGATTGCATGAAGGTGTAAACAAATCCATAATTAATTAAGGTCAAAATCTTTTAAGATCAAAAGTTATATACTATGCTAAAACAGACAATCGTAGTTTAAATAACTATAGCCAGTGTATGAATAGGGTGAGAAGAAGTTTAAATTATCTTATTAAATCTACCTAGGCAAAGGGGAAACAAAGGATAAGGTTATTCCCCCCACCCCACCCCCCGAAATCTCACAACTTTAGGGCTATGTAAAACAGGCGAGTTCGAATTCCCCTCGAAAAGTTTGATGAGATGCGATAAACAATCATAGAAGAGTTTCTTCTGTCCACTTAATGACCATTATCAATCAGTTGAGACAAAACTGAGCTTCTTGTACATTCTGTTTGATCTTTCCCTAGCCATGAAGCAAAACGCATAGAAATGCATTTGCTGAACCGTCTAGTTGTTTGCTCTGTATAGCTGTCTTCACATGAGCAGCTAAATTCGTAAATGCACATGGAAGTGATGCAACTAGATAACTTATCTTTTATCTAAGCAATCATAATTCGTCGACTGGGAAATGATAAACAACAGGTGGCAGCAGTATAAGTTATTTTAATGTATTTAAACAATCTCTGGTAAAGAACTTCACTGGCTATGTCTCCAATAAATTGGAGTTTCATGAACAAGTGTTTCTTTTTAACCGTAATTCTCTCCGTTTCATTGTATTCACTTTTCATGTGTCCCATTACGACTGGCGCATTATCATTATCGTTATATCGGTGATATATTTATTATTCTTGATCAGAAAACTGACAAAAACGAAGAACACGGTGGCAAATGTATATTTTCTTCATCTTTACTTGAGTAGAAGAACAGATGATTCAGTCAAAAGAGACGTTTATAAAAGGATTACGCCTATAGGACAATATGTACTCTTCTTTAGCTTCATACACATCCAGTTTGGTCAAACGCCTCAAAAATGCGGCTAGAAGGATCTACACTAATGATTCTTTGAAAAATGATTTAGGATATATCCATAATGAAGATCAAACGGCCAGAAAAGATTAGCTACAAGGGACTCTGGCGGTGAACCAACAGAGAACTTATCGCCCAGCAAATATTAAGGATAAGATTGAGGTGAATTTGACGTACGCCGACAAGATCGTTGAGTGGTTTCACTCGTCAAGTCCTCATAGAGGAAATCGTATGAGGAAAAGGTGAGAGCTTATGGTCAGTCGTAGAGTCAGCTAAAAAGGAGTCCAGGGAACAATGTCAAATGGACATGTGCTATTGTATGCAACCTATTATGATTGTTCATGTGAAATATAAGTTACCTAGCTGTATCACTTCCATGTGTATTTAGAAATTTAGCTGCTCCTGTGGAGAAAGCTGCATAGAAAGAACAACTAGACAGCTTGACAAATGCATCTCTGAGCAACTCGTGTCATGACTGAGAAAAGGTCATACAAAGCCTAAAAGAAGCTCAGTTTTGTCTCATTTGACTGATAATAGTCACTAATTGGATAGACCCGGGGTTCGATCCCCGGCCACAGACGCACTCCTTTACCTTGCTAAGCCAGAAATAATGCTGGTAAAGATGAAAGGTTGGGGATGAGGCTAGCAACCCCATCCTGTAAAATAAACACTGCTACGGAAACTTCAAGCCACTAGCTTGAAGCCCTATGTTCCATTGGGGAAGGTGAAGGAAAAAAATTGGACAGAAAAAGGGCTTTCATGGTTACTCATTGTATTTTATCAAACCTTTCGAAAGGAATTCCAACTCGTCTTTTACACAAAGTCTAAGTTATGGGAATTCGGGAAAGTAACCCTATTTGGTCCTACCTTTGTGTCTTGGTCTACATAGATTTACTAAACTAACTGAAACTCCCCTCCCATTCATTTATCATATTTAGTCAAACGCTGATTGTCTGTCGACTTTGATGTGCTCTCTTTTGCATTACTCAATATCGATTCCAGAGATTTTGCCACTGCGTTTCATTTTGATTGAAGATACATCTTTCTGATCAGTCTCAATGAATAAAAAGTCCAGGTTGAAGAGAATGGTTCTTCCTATCTCTCCTTAATATCCAACAACACATTTTTAAGGATTATTTTCTTCTTAATACAATGTAGGGTGCAGCAGGTCGGGTGTGAGGACAAATACTCGCCGAAGACATTGTCTGGGGGTCGCGCTATGTCGTGAATTGGCAGAAATTAGAATTCATGGGCCATTGTGTCGGGTCCCAGTGGCTCAATGGTCTACGAGCTAGCTCGCCTTGTAACCAGAAGGCCCTGGGTTTGAACTGTGGCGGTGGGTGCGTACTACTGAAGAGTCCCAAACTATGACGAAACAGCTGTCCAGTACTCCCAGGTTTTCCAATGGTTCTCTAACTGATGTCAGCTCATGATGAAGTCCTGCAATGTATAAATTTATTAAATAGACAGCCTGTTTAAGAGTTATGAATTAATTGGGCAAAGTGTTACTCAATAATTTTCACTCTTTACCACGTCAAGTTGACTGTTATAATTTCAACTTGATTATCTAATGTTTCCTTGAACTTGTAAATTGGCCAACATGACTCAGAAATTTCGTATGATACTGACATGAACAGACTTTTATCAACAGTTGCCCCCTTCTCTGGCTCCCTACTGAAGATCAAATGGCCAGCCGGCCAGAAGGAATTGGCAACAAGAAATTCTGGCTGGGAACAAACCAACCAAGAGCCTATTGCTCAACAAATATGTAGGAGAGGAGGCCATTGAATGACATCGCGCCATATATGCAGGCCATCGCTCGAGTGGAATCCAAATGGGAAGCGACGAGTAGGTCGTCGGTGTGAGGGTGACATGGAGGAGATCTTGTGATGAGGAGGAGATGAGAGATTATGGTCAAACATGGATCCAGGTGAAGAGGACAACAGAAAATAAAACAGAGTGAAGATGTGTTGTTGAAGTCCTCCCATTGTTCCACTTGGAACCCGAGGGAATAGTAATATATAATGTACTGACATGCACTCTTTATGATATATTGTAATGGTTCACAGATTCCCATCTCAATTTTCTAATGACCTACTTTCTCTTTTATAAAAATAAAAACAAAACCTGTTTATGCTATAGAACATTCCGATCTATCTTGAAAGTGATTGGTAACAATCTAGACAAGTACACTGGATATCCAAGAACTATAGGTGGTAAGTCTTTTTGTTTTTTGATAAAAGTTACGTGAATTCTTCATATATGTATAATATTTCCAATTACAGTATATAGTCAGCTGAATGTGAGTAAATTCCAGCTTATTTTAAGAGTAAGATAGTGCTTATATAAGTGACTTATCAAGCGGAATAACAACGAATAAGTCAAGAAAACCGATTTGAAGAACTTTTAATGCCGATGAGCTTCAGCTGACAACCAGTTTTAACTCCTCAAGTGAAAGATGAATCACCTAGGCTAGCCACCTTTTTCTTCTATCTATCAGTTCAACTGCTCCCGTGGAGCCAGTTGTATTGTCTGTTGGTTGGTCTAGGAATTTAGTTTTTCGTCCTCAAGAATACCTACCAGTATGGCTTAACAGAGGTGTAGTAAAAACCATCAAGAGTTCGATATTAGACCATCTGGTTCAAACACTGAAGAATCCTTTTTCTATCTAACTAATTTCGGACTCCTAAGGAAACTGGTGAAATTTCATCTCGAATTGTGTGTTGCCAGTTGACTATTTGATTAAATGTACTACCAGTTCACCCAAGTAATAGCTAGACAGAATTCGAGTGGTTTTAACTGATTCATTTGTCTGAGCTAAGTCAAACCGGTTACACTTCTGATTATCTTGACACCGAATGAGTGAAACAGCTGCCCGGTGTTCAGATCACTTCGATCAGGCTGACCAACAGAAACTACTGATTGATGTGACTGACATCCAACTACTGATATCAAACAATCAGTATTATAAAGCACGATGCGTTTAGGAAATTTAATTGAGTGACGCGTAAAGTCCGAAAATACAAAATTTGAATAAGACATTTCGAAAACAAGTTTCGCGAGATGATATCATTTCGTAATTTCTTTACAACCTCTTTAGAACTAACATGATTCACAATAATAAAATAAAATACATGATACTTACTCAGTCATATAAAACAAAAGAACGTACTAGTGCCCGATTGGTCACTAGTCAAGTAGCCCATGCTAGGCGAAGGTTGAAGTCTATTGTTTTTTGTACACATAGTTTAGGATATATGTGATTAATCCAAAGGATTTGCCTATAATACAGTACTATATTAAACACAAAATATGAAATATAATACATACATCTCAACTGTGAGGTGTCTATGGCTGGATGCAGTCAAAAAGCACAGTCAATATGCTTCAGTAAGTAAAAGCAGCAGAGCTGTTTCAAAGGCAATCGATGTGTTATTCAGATGACGCATGTATGCCAGACACAGAATATAAAGGGATACGGATAAACAGCGTTCAACAGTGATGGGTATACGAATAAAGCATACACAGCAAATAGTGTTCGACTATAAGAAAATAATTATTATACATCTAATAGATTGCCAATACGTCGAGTGAATAAAGAAATGGTTAAGAATTAGCAAATTCAACTTATACTACTTACTAGGGACAAGTAGTATAAATTTAACGCGGAAGAAGGAATGACGAAGGGGAAATAGGAAAGGAGTTAACGACTATACAGGCTGAAATATAATGACCACAGCATTTTTCGCGATAAATCTGTGCGTAACGAGCTCCATCACTTCATCGTCTAATATCTAAATCTAAAAGTGGAGTTTTATTCATTCTAACTTTCTTATTGACCTCAATGGAGTGTTTTAAACAATTGTTTTGTATCAGTTTTTCAACACAGGGGTTGAAAATACATCCAATGTCAAGTACCTTGGTCTGAGTTTTTCCACCGATCTTTCCTGGTCCTCCCACATCTTGCTAGTTACTAGAAAGATGTTTCGCTTAACGTTCTACGTTAGGAAATTTAGGCAATCTGGCGTAAAGCAGTCTGATTTCTCAGTTTGTCAATTCTTGTATTCTACCCATCCTCCTTTACTGCTCCCCATTAATCTTTCCTGGACTACTTAAGAAAGACTTTGCTTTGCTGAGAAGGCCAGGCACTAAAAGCCGTTAGTAGGGCAAGTGGGATATCGTTAAACCAACTGGTTAACACTATTGTGGACAGACATATTATGTCATGTAAGAAACTAGCGAATACAATATTGTCAGACCCCGAGGATCCTCTATATACGCAGCTGTCTCCTTGCCTTTCATCTGGTAGAACTAGAAGTAGCTATAGGAGGCTATATGCTAGGACTAACAAATACAAAAACTCCACAATACTATATCTGGCACAGCTGTTATGTGATGAGAAATCCGTTAGGTATGACACGATAAACTTACTTCGGCGGCACTCTAACAAATAGTCGCATTAGTTTTTGTTTTCCTTTCCTCGTTACTATTACACTGTTGTTCTCATCCTCTATCACGCATCAACTTTATATTTCATATCCTGTGGTGCATTGTTTGAAATGTAAACGCTACGCTGTTCTTTTTTTATTTATTTATTTTTTCCTTTTTTGATTTTAAAAATCTTATAAAATTTATGAGGTAATTAGATGCAATATATTGTAATGCACGCTGAAAATTCCATACCTGTACCACAAATACCGTTTGGAATAAAGGTGTTATTATTATTATTATTAAAAAACTACACTAAATGAAAGTATCATTAACATATCTACTTGACATGAAATTTCGTTTCATTGATTGTAATAACCGATGTTGTTGTTGTTGTCGTTGTTGTTTCTGCGTCTGCAACAAATGTACCGGCGCGAACAGGCTTTCAAAGACTATTCATAGCCACTCTGTCAGTTTGACGGTATCATTTATTGTTGGACTGGAATTATACATTGCTACTGAATGCCATTTATAATTGTTTTAGCCTTGTTAACGGAAGTGAACAACCATGTTGATAAATTAAAAATGGGATCACATGGCTCGTCTACTTATTTGCAATAAGTAGTATGAAACTAAAAGTGTATAAAGATAAGATGGAAAATAAATCAACTCAAATGATTCTCCAATTACCTTCATAGAACTATCTGCATTGTAGTCAATCATCGCTTGCAAAAATGCAAGTAATGCATAGTTTTAGGCAGGAGAAGTATTTTAGTCATTGTAGTTATAATTCAAATGAACTGCCGTCAATATTTGACAGAATAGTTCTAAAATATTTGGGCGCCGAGTGAGTAGATATTTGTAAATAATTATATTTATAATATCTCAGCGAGATTGAAATGAGTACTTCCAACGTTTCGTTCGGCAATCTGGTGCGAACTTCTTCAGGGAAATTAATCGAAATTAACAGAACAGAGGTTTATATATAAAAGGAACATTTCTTGTTTTTAAAAACTTTGTTCAATCATGAGTCATGAAACAGGTATCAACATGTATAATAAACAAAATTGTATGAGCTGTGATCAAATTTTGACCTCGAACTTACAAATATTGGTCTACCTTTGATAAACACTTTAAACAGAGTGTGTTTGTGTGTGGGTGGGTAAATAGTTGTAAAACATTTGTTAACGTCTCCATAAGAATGCATATCCAAAATCCGCAGCTGTCGAGTCACCTGACAACGCAAATAAAGCAGCTCAACCTTCAAATAGAAGACAAAGCAATAACTTCGACAGAGTGCTTCAACTAAACTCTAATCCTAAACGTCATAATTTTGAAAATACGTCTGATCATAAAATTCTAGATACTAACAGTTGGAATAGACATGAAGCTGTGATGTTAGCTGATACATAGCGAATCTTGATTCATAAATAAAAATGGATATGTATCACTAATGAATAATACTTGGTCAAAATTCCCGATTGTCTATATTTTCTTATGGAGACGTCAACAAATGTTTTACAATTATTTACCCACCCACACACAAACACACTCTGTTTAAAGTGTTTATCAAAGGTAGACCAATATTTGTAAGTTCGAGGTCAAAATTTGATCACAGCTCATACAATTTTGTTTATTATACATGTTGATACCTGTTTCACGACTCATGATTGAACAAAGTTTTTAAAAACAAGAAATGTTCCTTTTATATATAAACCTCTGTTCTGTTAATTTCGATTAATTTCCCTGAAGAAGTTCGCACCAGATTGCCGAACGAAACGTTGGAAGTACTCATTTCAATCTCGCTGAGATTTTATAAATATAATTTTTTACAAATTGTAGTTATAAGTTTTAACCAACTTTGGTAACTGTGATATGTGTTATTTGTTTTTACGATCGTCTATCCCAACTTGTTTTGTTCACCAGTGTAACAATATAATAGTGAGGAAGAAGTTCAAGGGCGACTATACAAGTACATGACATCCATCCATGAAGTCACTGATTATCGGTTGCTCGTTCAAGGTCTGAATAACAACAGAAGCATATTGTCGGGGATTATGTGTCACATAGCCCAAGAACTGTTATATTGTTGGTAATAGTAGTTAGTTGTTTACTTGCTCTTTAGGCATCCTATTAATTTCACTACTTTTCGACATCTCTATACATAGAATTACATAAGATTTATTAGTTCAATTGTGATTATTTTCTCTTTCTTTCTTTTTCTTGTCTAGAATGTGGTGGCAAAAATTATCACTTTCTTCATCCATCTGCTAATTTAGAAGAAGCTGCTGTAGGCACTATTCGTAGTTCATTTGAATACTCTGGACAAAAGTGTAGTGCATGCAGTCGTCTCTATGTACCAGAGAGTTTATGGGAAAAATTTAAAGGCCTACTTCTCAGTCACTATAAACAATTAAAAGTTGGGTCGCCGCTTGATTCAGATACATTCACTTCGGCTGTTATAGATCAAAATGTAAATACGTATTTGGTGTTGTGTTTTTTTTTCATTGATTTGTTTGCTTTCCATTTTATTCTTGCTTTGTTTCTAGTGGTGAGATTTATAATCAGGTGACAAATTAAATGATTTCTTACTTCAATGTTACTCAGAGGTAGCCCAATCACCTTTTTGTACTAAGCATAACTAAGTTTCCAGTGGAGGTTGCAGTAGGGGCAGTGTTGTTTTTCACGGGATGGGGTCGCTAGTCCGACTCCCAACCTTTCCTATTTCCCGTACTTATTAAAGGTTAGTGAACTAGGCGTGGTCTAGGTGTACGTCCGCTGGAAATCACATCTGTACCTCCCAGTTGGCTGGAGAGCATTCCACTACTGACACCTAAAACGGAACACTAGCTTCTGTCAACGTCAATGATAATTTTGTTTACACAACTTATTTATATATTTTGTATTTCATAAAATACTCGTCTAGGTGATTATATCAACTCCCGATACAGTAAACAGGCTTTTTAAAGAAAAGAAATCTGTAAGTCGCTTACACTGTGTTGGGAGTCTGAAAATGAAGTCATAGGGGTGTAAAGTGTTTCCGTCGGACTACAGCCTCTTCGCTCTGGGGGGTGTTCGACCCTAAAAATTGTGCCTCTCGACTTACTCTGCGGCAGTCCGTAGCTAGCAGTAAGGTCTTTATTTGGATATCGTTCTAAAAACTACTTCGAAAACAGGTTATATGTTGCTTGACTCAAGTAGTTTTTCCCTAGGCCCTGTGGTCAAGCAACATTAATGCTCTTTCTGTCTCAGGTGTTTGAAGCAGATAGTAAATTGCATGATAAGGGCAGCCAAGAATTACTAACTACGCGTTTACTTTCATAAGCACACTAAATGCTAGTATCTTTAATAGTCAATCTGAACGAAGAATATTCTTATCAATAATTTCTCTACTTCAGGTTCTTACAATTATAAAATATGATATTTATTGTCGTTACAATAAAGGCCAGTTATGTTCCTACCGTGGCCAGACTTGGATTGATGATTCCTCCTCTCACCAAGAGTGCTTCTTCCCCTTAACCCTCTTGGTTTTTTTCCTTTGCTTATTACTACAAATATTATTATTACAATTACAATTATTATTATTCGTCATAAATTATACTCTTCATGCAAACATTCTCTCAATACTACTGAATTTTCCATTTATACTGTCCGGACTTATTATTAGTGATATTATCTATTTTCTCAATATATGCCTCCACCTGTTTCATTTCACATATTCGTTATTTCGTTATGAACCTCTCATTGCAGTCTTACTCTCTCCTGTTTAACACAGACCACTTTGTACTAGCCATTCCTGACACCTTCGATAACCTTGAACTGACTTGTCAATTTTCCTACCCCACACTCTACAAATCTATTATGACCACCATTGTCTCCCGTTTTACAATATTTTTTAATCGATTTCAGCCTAGCACTTTTGTCACACAAATACGACTATTTATTTTGACTGACACCCCATAACTAATCTGTTATTCTACGTTAAAGGGAATGTATCTGCCGTATAACTGGCCGTTATTGTAACGACAACAAATGCATTATATTTTATAATTGTAAGAACTTGAAGAACCTCGCCAGACTACCAGCTTGCTAGGCTACTAGCTTACTAGTTTTCTCGCCGGTCCCAAGACCTGGTAAAGAGGGGGGGTTGGGGCGTGGTGCTAGCAACTCCACCCCTGTAAAACAACCAAATCGGTACAGAAACTTCAAAGAATAAATATATTAAAAATTCTAAAAACATAAACAATAACCTTATTTTTTGCTGGAATCGGAGAAGCGAAATGACGCAGGCTTGTGAAAGCCTTCGGGAAGCCGGTCAGCAGATGTGCCTTCTTTCGACGAAAGCAAAAGTATGGATGGGTATGTGGAATGTTCATACAATGTACGAAACTGGAAAGGCTGCCCAGATAGCCGCTGAAATTAGAAGGTACAGAATAGAAGTGTTGGGAATCTGTGAAAGCAGATGGAACGGAACTGGAAGGTGTCAACTATCAACTGGAGAGACAATAATCTATTCCGGCCACCCAGAGGACAACTACGAGCACACTGAGGGAGTGGCCATCATGATGTCACCAACAGCAGTCAAAGCTCTCATGCAGTGGGAACCAATCTCCTCCAGGATAATGACAGCCAGGTTCAACTCGAAAGGAAGGAAGGTTACAGTCATTCAATGCTATGCGCCTACAAACGTCTCAGAACAAGAGAAGAAGGAGGCGTTCTACAGACAACTACAAACAATAATGGACAACGTCCCAAATGGCTATGTCACAATCCTGATGGGTGATATGAATGCGAGGCTGGGAGGGGACAATACAGGAAGAGAACTCACCATGGGTCGCGAGGCCCTCGGTGAAATGAACGACAATGGTGAACTCTTCTCAGACTTCTGCGCCTTCAATGATTTGGTGATTGGTGGCAGTGTGTTCAAACACAAGGATATGCACAAGGCGACATGGATTTCATCAGATGGAAACACCAAAAACCAGATAGACTTCATTTCAATCTCAAGGGAGAGGGAGCCTACAAGACACAAGGTCGAGGAGAGGAGCAGATGTGGGTTCAGACCACTATCTAGTACAAGGGACTTTCAAGGTGAAACTAAAAGCCTCGAGGATAGCTGGGGATAGGCCACAATGCAAGTTCAACACTCAGAAACTGAAGGACACAACCACAAAGGACACTTTCACTGCAAGAAACACTACGTGACACCACTGAGGAATCATGCGTGGAAGAACATTGGAAGTCTCTGAAGGCGATTCTCAACGAAACGTGTTCAACGGTTCTAGGAAGAAAGAAGAAACAAGACAAGGAATGGCTCTCAACGGACACTTGGAAGCTAATAGAGGAGAGGAGAATGGTGAAAGAGAAAATGATTCAATACAAGGACGGACAGGAGAAGGAGACGATGAGCTCAACTTACAAAGCACTGGACAAAGAAGTGAAGAAAAGTGCTAGGAAGGACAAAAGGCAATTCTACGACAATCTGGCCACTGAAGCTGAGAAAGCAGCAGGCAAAAGGGACTTGAGGACATTATATCAGATAACCAAATCTCTATCCAGGAAGAAATCAACACAAGCGAAACCGATAAAAGACAGCCAAGGAAACCCAATTACCAAGGAAGAAAGACAGATTAAACAATGGGCGGATCACTTCAAAGGACTCTTGATCCGACCATCACCTGCAACCCGTCCAGAAATACCAAAAACAGCGCGCACACAACTGCAAGTTGACACCAATCCTCCAACGAGAGCTGAAGTCTTGAATGCAGTCAAGTTTCTGAAAGCTGGAAAAGCAGCTGGACCAGATGGAATACCCCCTGAAGCACTGAAAGCAGACCCAGAGACTACAGCAGACATGCTGACTCCATTATCGCAAAAGGTCTGGAAGGAGGGAAAGGTGCCTACTGACTGGAGGAAAGGTTACCTCGTGAAACTACCAAAGAAGGGCGACTTACGCCTCACTCTGCAAGAACTGGCGAGGAATCATGCTTCTATCGACGCCAAGTAAAATCCTGAGTCGCATCATCCTGGAGAGATTAAAGGACGCACTGGAGACAGAACTCCGACCAGAACAAGCTGGATTCAGGAAAGGCAAATCATGTACTGACCAAATTGCAGCTCTACGCATCATCATCACAGAACAAAGCATGGAATGGCAATCAAACCTCTACCTCAACTTTATAGACTTTGAGAAGGCCTTCGACAGCGTTGATCGTGAAGTAATTTGGAAATTACTCGAGTACTATGGCGTACCCCAAATATTCATCAACCTTATTCAACAGCTGTACGACAACGGCACATGTCAAGTGATCCACAACGGAAAACTCAGCGAGGCGTTTGGAGTAAACACAGGAGTCAGACAAGGGTGCTTATTATCACCAATGATATTCCTAATTGTGGTGGACTGGATTATGCGTCAGACAGTGGGAAACGAGAAGACAGGAATATCCTGGACCGACGTGAAGAACCTAGAAGACCTGGATTTCGCGCGTGGATGATTTATGTTTGATGTCACACACAATCGAAGACTTACAAGCGAAAACCGACAAACTGGTCGAAGAAGCAGCCGGCGAAGACAGGACTCCAGGTGAACATAGACAAGACGGAGGTGATGAAAATAACCAACCAAAAACAGCAGCAACATCCAACGGGAGGGATTTGAAAGAGGTTACTTCATTCACTTATCTAGCATTGAGCATTGTCTCAAATACAGGAATTCAGAACGGACGAGCATGTCAAATCGAGCGAGAATCGGGAAGGCGAGAAACACATTCATCAACCTGAAATCAATCTGGAAATCTTCGTCACTCAGCCAGAATCAACAACAAAATCCAGTCGGATTTTCAATACAAACGTCAAGTCAGTCAGTTCTTCTATACGGATCAGAAACTTGGAGGGTTACAAAGAATATTTCCAAAAGGTTGCAGACCTTTATTAATAACTGTCTTCGCTCAATACTGAAGATCAGATGGCCGGAAAGAATCACCAACAAGAAACTGTGGGCACTAACAAACAAAACAAGAACCAATCGCCAACCAACAAATATGCAGGAGAAAGTGGAGATGGATCGGACACTCGCTGAGGAGACCGCTGGGTGACATCGCGCGTCAAGCCCTCGAGTGGAACCCGAAAGGGAAGCGGCGTGTGGGACGTCCAAGGGTGACATGGAGGAGATCGTGTGAAGAGGAGTTGAAAGAGTATGGACTAACATGGATGCAGGTGAAAAGTACAGAAGAAGACAGAAGCAAATGGAGACGTGCAGTTGAAGCCCTATGTTCCACTAGGAACCCAAGGGAGCAATAATAATAAGAACCTGAAGAGAAATTATTGAAAAGAATATTCTTCGTTCAGATTGACTTTTAATTCATAATATGGGAATATTTCACACTATCAAAGCTAGTATCTTTATGTAAGGAATACTTTCATCATAAACTTCGTTTTTATTTTGATAATACCTCTATTTAGTAAATGTGAATTTATGTTCAATAGTTTAACTCTTGTGAGGAATGCTCTTCTGATTATAATCAGTTAGCGGTGAATAGGGTCGGAGAAGTGTGGAATTTCATGTTGTCAAAAATTCTCATAATTAGGAAGTAACCAATTTCATTCCCTACATTTAGTCCATCTAATGTAATGTGATCTCTTTCTGATTGCTTATAAGATATTTGTTTTTATAAATATCTATTTTCGTAGTTTATTTTAAACATAAGATGGGATGCTATATTTATAGTTCTCTTTATAGAGACTTTTTGACCAACAATTGAGCTGCTTTTATTTTATGAACTTACTTGTGATTATCATTTAATCTCGCAATGAGTGATTTATCCTTTAGGATGTTTTTTTGGTTATTGTGTTGCATACAATAAGTGATTGTACTGCTACGCTAGAACACATTAGTGTATCGTTTTAATTTGAGAAATTTCTAAATAAACATTTTGAATGTAGTCGATGTATTGTAATATCAGTACTTGAAAGTTAGTCAGACAATTGATCGAGATACTACTTAAGTAAGAAGAGGCGATCTTGTCTACCATCTCGATTATCCTCATTCTTCAGTTAGTTAAAGACGACATACACAGATGACACGTATGTCGATAAACCTTTTGTATATTTTGCTGATTTATGTTATCAAGTTATTTGTTATTGATTTCTCTTCGTGACAGTACTACAGGCTCTATCTAATGTTTGTGATATTTTCCACCTTTCTTCAAACGTTGTAGCTAACTGTAGGAGAAGATTCTTGTATTTTTCACTAGAACTGGTTTTGTTTTAAATAATTATATTCCTATAAACTAATTGGTATTGGATCACCTGTTGAAATGAATTTACACTCTTTTGAGCTGTATGCGTACAAGTGATGTATTATTACAAACAGCCGTTCTTAAGCTTAAGATTCAATTGACAGTGATAATTATTTATTTATTTATTTAAAGGACCAGTTAAAACCCTATGAAAGTTGGTGAGGTTATATGATAAAATGATATCAGCTCATGATGAAATCCTACAACCAATCCAACAAACTATCCCTACAAAACCAACACTTGGAAATTAATTAATCTGATGCTCACTAGCGACTGGCCCTATTCAGGCATTTAACCTGGGGTTCTAGTGGGAAGCCGTGACCAGTAGAGTACAGCAGGTTGAAGGTGAGACAGTAACTCATCGAAGAAGACATTGTAAAGTGGTCGCGCTCTGTCAAGAATCGGCAGAAGTTGGAATTCATGGACTGCCCACTGGATCGGGTCCCAGTGGCTGCTCAGTGGTCTACGAGCTAGCTTGCCTGGTCCTAGATTCCAGTCTCGGCGGTGGGTGCGTACTGATGAGGAGTCCCAAATTATAACGAAACAGCTGTCCAGTACTCCAGCTAGCTTTCCAATTGTTCCCTAACCAATGTCAGCTCCTGATGAAACCCTCCAACCAATCAAACAAAAAATCCCTACTTGTAAATTAGTAGTAGTTAAAAATACCAACCGCGTCGGTGTTTCAATAGTAGGATGCTCACCAACCAACCACGCACGTGGTTTGAGTCCGACTGCTGCCCAACGCACGCCTAAACCTCACTCATCCGGTAGAAAGCGCGGTAGAGACAGAAGGCTGGGAGTGAGACTAGAAATCTCAACCCGTAAAAATGACAGCACCACTGCCACTGAAACTTCAGAGCTCAAGCTGTGGAAGCAAAGTAATGAAGAAAACTAACCAGTGGTAACTTTATAGTTCCTGATAGATCTACGCTTAAAACGACGGTGATACAAGTGCTTTGTTTTCGTGATTTGGTCATTTTCTTCTGGTTCAAACTTGTTTTAATTCATCTCTGGAACGATACATCTCTTATTAGTTGTTTTCTGGCTCCATGTGTGTATAATCAGAGGTGGACAGTATTCTATCAAATTTCTCTACTTTCGGTTGTGCTATATATGTAAATTTTTTCAACCAACTATTATAAGTAAAAATAATTGTATATTTTATTTTAGGCATTCAAAAAAATTTCTAGTTACCTACAATATGCATCTAGTTGTGCAGATATTGAAGTTATTGCTGGCGGTCATGGGAATGATAAAGTTGGCTATTTTATTGAACCTACAATATTAAAAACCAAGAATCCAACGGATAAATTAATGAAGGTGAATGTTGCTCATTTTAATATCTTTTTAAAATGATATGAATTTCTTTATAGACTAGTTTAAGGGTTTAACATTCTTTCATATTTCGTTTACGATTGAATTTTGGATAATTTATTAAGCTACTAATTAACTGATATAAGTAGTTGGATACAACTCACATCTAAACACTGAACCGTCGTTTCACTCATTTGGAACTGATTACGTCAGTAGCAGTGGATTTTGACTCAGATCAGATAGCCAAATCAGTTCAAATCAACTGAATTCTGGCTTAGTACTTTCTGATATCTTGTAGCGCAGTTTTTGAATTCAAATGTGTTTTGTGTAAGCTTAACTTTTTACGAGTTGATAACGGATTGATATCAATTAGAGAACCATTGAAAACCAGCTCTGCAGTACTGGACAGTTGTTTCATCCTAGTTTGGGATCATCGGCAGTACGTATCCAATGGGGTTCGAGTCCAGGACCTTCCGGTTACAAGGCCAGCAAGCTCGCATACCATTCAGCCACTGGGACCCGATTCAATGGCCCATGAATTCTAACTGTTTTCAATTCGTAAAAACAAATCTAATCCTTACAAACCAATTATTAAGCTTAACTTACCGATCATTTGAATACTTCTGCTTCAAATTCTTGATGCTTTCGACAGAGAAGAAGTGTTTATTAACATAATATATCAGATTTAATTCATTCAGACTTTTGAGTCCATTTCATTTTTTAGTTATCTGCGATAAGATGACTAGTAGAATTGACTCTGTACTAACACACCTAGGACTAGACTCATGATACTAGTTATTACCTACTTTCCAATCAAAGTATCCAATACAGTCAGTCCTACAGGAGGTCAATTGCGAGCTCGAATGGCTCCATGGCAACGTTTCCGACTGCAGCACTGGTTGGCTCGGTTTCGAATCTCAGAAGGGAGATGAGTTCCTTCAAGATTGCAGATACGCCTTGCTAATGTGTGTCTACAAGCGCGAAACATGAGTCTAAGGATTTCTGTTGACTGCCTCCAACCATCTCACAGCAATGTTTATCTATCCTACTTAATAAAAATGATAGAGTTTAACAAAAATTTAATGAAGATCATTTGAAATTATTTCTAATTTATCTTTGTCTGATGTTACTGGAGTGAATACATTGCATATGTTGAAATGTCGGCTGCTAGTACGAAAGTGTCCGTACTCGTGGCTCAGAAATCTAGTTGATAACTATCCGATGTTCACGTTATTAAGTTTTTTGACCTGGATGGTTTAATTATGAAACTCTCATTATACCTCTAGACAACGTATTCAGCATTAACCACAACCAAATCAAAAACATCCATCTGAGCTATAAATGTTCTCTATTATTTCAGAAGCTTTGGAGTTTGAGATGATAAGTGCTGAATGAGCTCAAGTCTCGACACAGGTGGACATCCTAATTAGGATGAGACGCGCATTTTGAATTCTATAGCCAAACAGCACTGGCTAAATAAAATGATTCCTTAAGTTGGCTTTCATTTATCACCGAATGATGATTCTTTCTTTTTTGATATCATATGTAACAGTTTATTCGCTTTGAATTTGTGATTCAGTTCGGATTTAATAGTTTTTTCAATATATATCTACATATATCCAAATCTAAATCAGGTTTTGGACTAGGATTTATGGAGTCAACTCACTATGGATGGTAGTTTATGACAGAATTCAGTATAACAATGGAGGACAGCACATTTTGTAGTACTGTACCGTTTGTTTGTAGCTAGTGAATGAGATACTAGTTTACCGTTGATGTCTTTCATAACCAGGGTAAAGCAGTTATCGTTACACATTTCTCAGTAGACCACTATTGAGTTAACTAGCATTTCCTGTCTGTTGAATAAACAAATAACAACTCATACCCATTGCACAAGAGGTGACTCTTGTGACCTAGTGACCTGGTGTACAACGATTTATCTTTTGTAATGATGGGTGCAGTTTCGAGTCTCGGTGGGAACATCATCCAGATGACGGATCGCAAATAGGATGAAATGCGCATCCTGCATTCCACTGCTAGTCCACCATCAGCCAAACAGTAACATCCTAGTAACTGTCTATTGTTTTAACCACAGACGGAAATTGATGCGATCTGTACCACGCCTTGAAGTTTTCAGATCATTTAAAAGTTTAAACTGACAATATTGACCATATTGTCTAAGTCATTATTCTCTCATATTGGTGGGATTATTAATTGTTTCGTAAATGATTCCCTTGACTAAAACAATTTTTAATGTGATTGCCTCTTTTATCACCTTGTTTATTGATTGCACGAAATAGAACTGTAGGATTACAGTATAATGTGGTAGTCAATTGACAATTTGTAAATTATTGAAAAGAGTTTATTCCACCCTCCTTACTCTGTCTTGGTTATGTAGGATTTTATCAAGTATTCTTTAGAACAACACATTTAAGCGAACAATATTGTTTTCAATTAGATCTCATCAGGCTTACCTCTAATATGCATAACTTTACAAATAAATATTCAAATATAAACCAATCATGGCGATTTATCAATAGGATTATAAGATTGTGCATATAAATTGTGCAATCAATAATAACAATAATAATGATTCTATTAACAACAAATGTGGGAAAGTGAGATGATCTGTGATAACAAGAATAATGAAAGACAGCATAATTAAACAAACAAATGTTCAGGTAGAAGTAGTGGATAAAGGTTAAGAAAAACAAATAGTCCGATGTAAGTATTGCTAGATTGTGAGGAAAGTAAATGAAATAAGATTAAGGTATGATAAGAGAGGGACTGAAAATATAAGTAAGGGGTGGTGGTGATGTCATCAGTTGGTTATGTCTCAATAGGCCAAAGGAGGGATAATGACTTTACGAACTTTTTCTGAATGCATAGTTTAGGCTGAATATTTCGAACGCCTATTGTCTCAGCTATATGCGGTAGACGAATACGAAGTCCACTGGGAAGATTCGGTGAGATGCGATGAAATCTCCTTGAATCCTTTCATTTCCACTAAATATGACAAAACCAAGCTACATATGGTTTTTGTCTGTCCATTGCCGAACCACGATGGGAGATGTTCAGTAACACGTTGGCTAAGCTGTCTAGTATTATGCCCAACATTACTATCATCGCAGGTACAGTTGAATTGATAAATAAACATAGATGCGGTAAAACTATCTTGTTTATCCTTTGTTTGATTCCCAATCAAACGTTGGCTAGAGAATGACAAACATAGGTTGGCTGCATAAGACGTTCTTCGTATACTTCTGAAAAGTATCTAGAATCAAAATCTCACTTGATAAGTTCCCATTAAATTGTAACTTAATAAACAGAGGTTTCTTCCATATTGTCACAGTTCTCAGGTTTACTACCCAGTGTTTTTATATGTTTCTTTATGAAACTACTCGGATACCCCACCTCCGTCAAGACATCATGAATTTATTCAAGTTCCTTTTGTAAGTGATCATCCTGTACATATCTTTCTTGCTCTGCTCGTGAGTATTATTCGATAACTTATAAAACATATGACACTGATGAAAATCGGTGACTTTTATTTCCCTCTATTTTCAGGATGATATTTTCGGACCAATTGTATGTGCATACGTGTATCGTGACAATGAAGTCGATAAAACATTAGACTTGGTCAACACAACCACAGAGTATGCATTGACTGGTGAGTGAATTACTGTATATATATATAGTTTTCTTATTAACGTTTTATTCTTATCATTATTTATACTGTAAACTGTAAGGATTTACCCAACAACAAGAAACTATTTGATTTCTCTTTTCCCTAATATGTAGGTGTACTCAAATCAACCATTCGTAGTGATTCTAGACCTTCAAAATGCTTAGAACTTAAGCTGGAGTATCTTTTATTCAATAATTCCATTTGTCTATTTGAACTCATTCCCCTAAACAGGTATTTTATGTTTCAGGCTATGAGCCGCACATTGTGTGAGGGGGGATTCTAACTTGAGATCTACTTACTGAAAGTCGATGGCATAAGCCTGTGAGAGCTACACATCCAGTGTTAATAGCCACTAGACAGTGTAACTCATTTTTATGCAACTTAGAAACCATATTCATCTTCATGCTGTTTATAACTAGCTACATGTGTTGTATGTTAGCCATGTTGGCTGTCCTGCTGCAGTTTTCAAACTAGTGATTGATTGTTTGAAGATCGATCGTCTAAAATGATCAATTTCAAACCTACTTTTTGAAGTAGAATTCATTAGTTTATTTCTGTCACGTTCCTCAAGAAGAGTTCTATGTTGGTTGTCCTATCTATGCAAATTTAAGTGAGAGGATATTATTCGTTACTCAGCATCAACAACCGAATTCGGATCTTCAATACAAACGTCAGGTCAGTCAGTTCTTCTATACTGATCAGAAACTTGTTGGGGGGAGGGTCACAAAGAATATTTCCAACAGCCTGTTGCAGACCTTTATCAACAACAACTGTCTTCGCTTTATAAGATGTGACAATAATAAGGTGGTATGGACAACAAACGAAGTTTGGTGCGGAAACCTCGTCTCATCCCTCTAAACTAATGAGAATCCTGACGACAATAGAAGGTGACGTGAAGTAATGAATTTCTCGTGTGAATGAATAGTAGTTGAGAGAAATCCAAGTAGCTGAGCATAGTCACTTTACTGTATCATAAAAATTTGTTTGTTTATTTATTTTTGATTACAGCTTGATTCCCCACCCTATTTTTGGTACAAGTATGGAATTTTCAGCGTGGATATCGGTAGCCCGAAATTCGCAGGCCGACCATAGACATCAGGTATGCGTCGGCAAGGGCTCGAACTCCGGACCATGTGCATGGTCGGCGAGAGTCCTAACCACTGTGCTACCGACGAACAGTTTCACTGCATCGTGCCTTTTCAAGAGGATGATGGATGAGTCCACGAATAAGAAAGACATACAAATTAATATTTTCTTCCTACATTGCATTGTTTTACTCAATCACCCTTCAAACAGTTTTCTTCATACAACAAGAAGGGAGCCGTTCTGGCGTCATTAGTAATGTCATCGTAAAGATTCACGACGCTCCGATTGAAAATCGTTTTAGTGTCCTTCTTGTGTTTGATTATGAATATTGATGCTTAGCAGAAAACTTCAAGTAACCAGCCAATCTCTTTCTGATTGGTGGTTTCCCGTTAGCATTGATCGAAGCAATTAACTAAGATTCGTACAACTCTGAACACAAGATTACCCTAGTATTCAGGTGAACTTCCAAGGCTGTTGACAATATGAGGCCTGTTATCTGCGTACGCAAAGCGATAGCTGGAAACTGAAAGCGCCCTCAACAAATGCTGATGGAAATATTTGTTAGGTGCAGGCGGATTTCTGCTGTTCAGCCTTAAAATTACTTTGTCTACTCAAGAGTTTACGTCACAATCATCAAGTTAACACAAGAAATGTCAATGAGAATGCGCCCGCCCTTTGTCGCCCATTAGGACTGTTTTACATATGTATATATAATCACCTAATGCAGAGACTATTAGTAAACTTTGGACACTATTCACTGAGAATATCGACAGAGTGAAGCTGTCCATCGGCTGATCCAAATCAGTCATACAAAGACAAACGCAGGAAGATGAAATAATAATAATAATAATAATGAAGATGAAATGTAAAATATTTTAATTTATTAGTTAACTTTGAAAGCAATACACCAAACCTCTGAGATAACAGAAACTACAACTACACCGTTTAGGTGAAATTGGAAATGTTTAAATTAATTTGCTGTGTAATGGTAATGCAGAGTATACTTCTTGTTCGACATCGTGCCAGCAACTGAGTGAGTCAGTAGTCACAACGCGAAGATAATACGAAGCAAGTGCTAACCTTCATCTAAAAATGAACAGTGGGATGCATTTTGATTAGTCCACATGTATATGATATATGTCGAAGAAGAAAGACAGGTTAGAGACAAAGGACTTAACAGGCTCAGAAACGGAAAGAAAATGAAATGGATATAATATATCGGTTGGGGAATATCGAAAAAACACTGAAAAGCGATTAAAAATTATGAAAATTTAGGTGAGAAGAAGAAATCATTGTCAGTCGTAGAATAATAGGGACACATCAACTTATATCAGCGAGGAATCTAAAACACAGCGAAAATTACTTCTTCACAATACTAGTTTGTGTCATTGCACAACGCTTTCATAATTTGCTATGCCTAGTCAGGTCGCTTCTGTACACGTTTTGAGTTTCCCTTTTCGAATGGTGATTTGAAACACTCTGTTCAGAAATCAGTACGATGCCCAGAGAATTTGTGATGATCGATCGAATCCATTTGTGATTGGCGTAATTGTTCACTGGTGACATGGACGAGAGATTGAAGACGAAAGAAGACGCAAATTTTTATTTCTGACTGCAGGAGGTGGCGTCTGGCTTTGACAGGGACATGACAACCTAGTAGTGAATACAATCATGTATGACAGTATGCACTGCTGACTGTGCAGTGCAACACTGGTTTCTGCTCACAACATGTGGTTTTTCCATTTTAATTCTGGTCTCCACTGAATTGACTTCCACAAATCGCCTGCAATAGAATCTACTGAGACATACAGAGATCAGGTGTTCCGTTATTTACTTATTTTTATTTCTTATTTTTGATTACAGCTTGATTCCACACCCTATTGTTCGTACTAGTATGGAATTTTCAACATGGATATCGGTAGCCTAAATTTTGCAGATCAACCATAGATATCAGGTGTCCGTCGGCAGGTGATCGAAACTCGGACCATGTGCATGTTCGTGGAGAGTCCTAACCATGCACAGAGAGAGTTATGCCTACACGAAATATTTAGACAGGCACAGTTTGAAGTTCCTCAGGATGTTCCGGATGTCATTTCACACCTTATCTGTATCCTGATATTCAACATATTGAAAATTCCACACTCTCACGCCTATTTCTGTTGCATCTGACTAGTTAATTTGATTCAAGCTTTCCATGTATTCATGTCATCATTTATCAATTTGTTCATGTCACGTCGGTTGAAACACTTTCTCGTGAGTGTATCTTGAATCAAGAGGTATTTATTAGCGTTTTTGTTTCAACAGAGAAGCATCCTCTTCTGATTGGTTGTTTTCTTGCTGAAGTTTATTCTGTTATCTCTTTGTGGCTGTTTCACAAAAATCAAGCCAAAAGCCTGTGAATCATGTCACCACACTTTAACTCCGCTGTGATTGGCTGGTGATTTTCCCAGGGTTGAGGTTTTTTATTGTTTTTCTTATGACCCTGATTCGGGACGTAAACATTAACGTAAATTGTTGTCCGAAATTTCGTCTTGCAGACAACTCTCACCACAGTATGACACACCTATTTAATTGATCTCACAGTCCATTGCATGCTGTGTGGCAATTTTCTTAATTGGATCTATCGGCTCCTTAAACAGATAAAGGTTATCTCTGAGAGAGACGTGGTCAGAGACAGGCTCTGGTGAATGTAATCATATGACTTCATAACTTCCTGTTTTTTTTTCTCTCAGAAATTTAACTTTCCATATCATACGCTTGTCCTCGCCAAATAAAATACTAAGTCATGTCGTCGTGGAAAAAGAGAATAAAAGATGCATTGGAGGCAGAACTCCGCCAGCCCCCTGATGAACAAGCTAGGTTAAGGAAAGGCAAATCATATGCGAATCACATAGAAACTCTGCACACATCATCGAGCAAAGCATAAAATGGAAGTTAAATCTTTACCTTGATTTAATTGACAACGTTGACTGTGAAGCAATCTGGAAACTACTTCAACACTGTGGTGTGCAGTGCTCAAATCTTTATCAACCTCATTCAACAACTATAAGACGATAGCATGTGTTTGATGATTCACAACGGAAAACTCAGTATGGCTCTTTGAATTGAAGGCAGGAGTAAGACTAGGCTGTTTGGCTACAATCATCCACAATAATATTCTTAATTGTGGTGGACAGGATTATACGGAAGACGATGCACGGGAGTGAGAAGACAAGAACACGTTGGAATGATTAGACGACTCTTTCTCGAGAAGAAAGAAGAATTCTACAGGCAACTACAGGCAACAATGGACAATACTCCAGCTGGCGACATGAAAATACTAATGGGAGACATGAACGCCAAACTGGGACCAGACAATACGGGAAGGGAACTCATCATGGGTAGAGAAGCTCTAGGAGAAATGAATGAAAACGGAGAACTCTTCGCCGACTTCTGCGCCTTCAACGAACTGGTGATTGGTGGCAGTGTATACAAGCACAAAGATATCCACAAGGCTACATGGGTGTCACCAGACGGGCAAACCAAAAACCAAATCGACTTCATCTCAATCTCAAGGAAGTGGAGGCGCAGCCTACTGGACACAAAAGCAAGAAGAGGAGCAGACGTTGGCTCAGACCACTATCTCGTACAAGGGACAATCCAAATCAAATTAAAAGCTTTCAGGGAATCAGGAGCTGCAGATAGACCACAAGCCAAGTTCAACACTCAAAAGCTGAAGGACCAGGCTACAAAGGACATCTTCATTGCAAGCATAAAGGACAAAGTCGAGACACAAATCAACACTAGCGAAGAGGTCGGCGTTGAAAAGCACTGGAACAACTTGAAAACGGTGTGGAGCCAAACCTGCATAGAAATTCTAGGCAGAAAAAAGAGACAGGACAAACAGTGGCTCACTACGGACACT